TGAGATTAAAGATTCAGATTTGTTTACTCATGTACCATGTAGCCTTTCCTGACTCGTGAAGTATGTTATCCCCATTGATTGCTCTGTGTTATCTCCAGTTTGTCTGAATGCTTCTTTTCTCCTCTGTCCTGTGTCCTCTTATTTCTTTTGTTTTTTTTTTTCTTCTCCAGCCTCTGTTCTGTTTCAAAAGGCAATTCCTGTTATCCTTAATTAATTTCAGTGGGTAAAGCCTAATGGGTTAATATATTGATTATATTATAATATCATAAATGGCTAGAATGTAAGGCTTTGACTCATATTCACAAATTATCTGGTTGGGGTCAATTGGTAAATACTTAAATTACCTATATGGTGATCTGATTCTTATATCAGCATTTAGTAAGAAACACAGAACATTCTTAATTTGTAATATTTTGTGCTATTTAATTATTGATTCATTTTCTGAGTTCTTAGCTGCTTGCCAATTGCTTTTTGGTCAAGGACAATGTTTGGTTTTTTTTTTTGTCACTTGACAGTGTTGTCTGTGCAAACACAGAATATGAGTAAATTTCAGGATTACTTGCATTGGAGTATTCAGAATGAAATATCCACTCTATGTCTTGATTGTTTTTAACTTTTACATTGAAGCAATGCCTAAATGACCAAAATTTTATTCCAAAAATAGCCTTTTAAATGATTGACATCTACCGATTTTGCCGTTCTTGATTTGTTCATTGTTCTATACCTACTCTTACATGCCACATTATCATTATTCTGATTTAAATTATAACTAACAAAGATGTTTGCAGACTCAAATATTTTCTCTGCCCATTAAGATGCCAGAAATACTAAGAGCAGATGATTTGCTTGCCAAAAACCTTTGTTATTAACATTTACTAAACTTTGTGCCCTTACCATTTACCATTTACTAAATGCAAAGGTTCTCACGGCCATGGGCTTGATTGGCAGTAGTGTATTTCTTGCTGGATTTTGCCTTCGTGTATGGAGCTTTCCCATGCAGCCTCAGAGGCTATGGAGGCTTTAGGATTGTCTGAAAGAAAGGCTACGGTGGTATACAAACTCACACAGCTCTTCTAGACTGTTGAGTCCCCCGAGCTAAGCAATCTTGTGAATGTCTTCAATGAAGTAGTCTGCTGGTGGGAAACCTTTCAAAGATTCAAGATTAATAGTGCATTATCATTTTCAGGAGTTGGTGATGACACACGAACTTGGGGGCCACCGTTTGTTGGGTCAGAAAGTACTTATTTTCTCAGTGTTAACCGAAATAAAAAAGTAAGAGCATCTTTTTTGTTTTTTGGCTTTATATAATTCTCTTGTTATAACCACACTTTTGTTATTGTCATGGCTTCTTTCTTTTTTTAATAGATGTAACTAGTCTCTAAAATTAGGTGAAATTATATTTATTCTTCACAAAATAGAAACAATAGAGCGTTCAACTAATCCTTATTCTCTGCTAAGTAGCTTAAAACATCTCTTGGGAATTTATAATGGATGCAATGATTTAATAAAAGCGAAATTATTTAGTTTTCTATGTTTGCTTTCTTTTGGATATTAGTTGCCTCAACACCTGGTACCACCATTTGAAAAATATTCACTATAATTCTTGCAATAAATCATCCTAACTTAAGTGAATTGCAAATAACGATGATTTAGATGTGCTTTCATGTAGAAAATGACTTTTCTTAAGAAGAAGAGTCTGGGATATGAATGGCTGTCCTGTTGAATAGAGCTGCCAATAGAAACTAAAATCTTTATGATAGTATTTTAATATATATGTCTTTGAATTTTTAGAGTATAGCAGTCAATATCAAGGATCCAAAAGGGGTGAAAATCATCAAAGAGGTACAGTATGCTTTATGGAAGGCATTTTACCAAGTATGCTGTAATTAGTTATTTGAAAATGAAGTAAAAATATTTAAGGCACTATTTCATTGGCAATCTGCACTCTTGATATAGAGTCTATGGGTGGTACAAACAGTTAAATGCTCAAGTACTATATTGAGTGTTTGGTGATTAGAACTCCCCTAGAAATAACTTGGAAAATTGGCCTGAAGTTCTGCTTCTAAAAGGCCAGAAAACCTTGAAAACTTTACGGAGGGATTCTACTCTGCACATACAGCATTGCCATTCTTAACTTGGTCATGATTAGCAACAATATATTCAATATAAATGCCATTTAAGAATTTAACTTGCTTTTAACTTTTTTAATTAAACATTTTTATTATTATAGTTTTAATTTCTGTTTTCACTTGCATTTTATAGTAAGTATAATGCACTATAATTTCTTGTCTGTTGTGTATAATATGTTAGATTCTTGCCTCATGGTGACCCCATGCACAATGGACAAAATGCTGCTCCATCCTATGCCATCTCATGACTGGTTGCACATTGAACTGTTGTAATCCATGGGATTCTAACTGACTGAATTCCAGAAGTTTATTGCCAAGATGTTCCCGTGGTTTATCTTAGTCTGAAGCTTCATTGGAACTTATTTTGCATGATAGCAACAGGCAAGCTACCACTGACAGATGAGTGGTGACTGCACATAAGGTGCTTGGGCAGGATTCAAGCTCAGGTCTCCTGCATGAAGATGAGCATTCTACCAGTGAACCACCAATGTCTTATATATGAAGCACACAGACTTCTTTTTTTCACACAAGGGATTGAATTTCAAGGGAGTTTTGAATACATTGCTAGTAAGAGCAAGAGCTGAAATTTGAATCCTGGGTCACTAAAAAGCCTTTTTTTGTTTTGGTTGTTAACACTTGCATGTCCAGACCTTATCTCAGCATCTTTCCTTAAGGGCTAGGATGAAACAGTGGTTAAGAGTGCTTACTCCACTATTTCACTGCTTGAATTTGGTTGAATCTTGCCTCCTCTGTATATAAGCTAAGTAACCTCAGCCAATTACTTGTGTTCTTTGTGCCTCAGTTTCCTCATGGATAAAATGGTGAAATAACAACACCTACCTCCTAGGTACTTAAGAATTTTCATTAGTTGCATTCTTACATGAGAAAGGTAGAAGAGTGTTAACTACATGTTGTTGTTGCCATCCCGTTGGTTCCGACCCATAGCGACCCTATGCAAACGAAGAAGGAAACAATGCCCCGTGCTGCACCATCCTCACAATGTTCCTATACTTGAACCTACTGCTGCAGCCACTGTGTTAACTTATCTCTTTGAGAGCCTTCCTCTTTTTTTGCTGCCCCTCTACTTTACCAAGCATGATGACCTTCTCCAGGGACTAGTCTCTTTTGACAGCATGTCCAAAGTCCTTGCTTCTAAGGAGCACTCTAGCCATACTTCTTCCAAGACAGATGTGTTGGTTCTTTTGGCAGTCCATGGCAATTTCAATAATTTTCATCAGCACCACAATTAAGAAGCATTGGTTCTTATTTGGTCTTCCTTATTTAATATCCAACTTTCACATGCATATGAGGCAATTGAAAATACTATGACATAAGTCAGGTGCACCTTGATCCTTCAACAAGAAACATCTTTGCTTTTCAATACTCTGAAGAAGTCTTGAGCAGCAGATTTACCCAATGCGATGTGCTTTTTGATCTCTTGACTGCTGCTTCCATGAATGTATTCAAGCAAAATGAAATCCTTGACAACTTCAGTCTTTTCTCCATTTATCATGATACTATATATTGGTCTAGTTATGAGGATTTTGTTCTTATTTACATTGGGTTTTAATCTGTACTGAAGAATACAATCCTTACTCTTCATCAGCAAGTGCTTCAAATCCTTTACATTTTCAGCAAGCAAGGTTATGCCATCTGCAGTATGTAAATTGTTCGTAAGCCTTCCACCAATCCTGATGTTGCATTCTTCTTTATATAATCCAGCTTCTCTGATTATGTGCTAAGCATACAGATTGAATAAGTATGATGAGAGGATGCAACCCTGACATACCCTTTTCCTGATTTTAAACCATACAATATTTTCTTGTTCTGTTTGCACAACTGCCTCTTGATCCATGTACAAGTTCTGCATGAGCACAAGGAAGTGATCTGGAATTCCCATTATTCTCAAGGCTAAATACATGGTTTGTTATTATCCATACAGTTCAATACCTTAGCATAGTCAATGAAACACAAGTAAACATCCTTCTAGCATTCTGTGCTTTCAGCCAAGGTCCATCTGCCATCAACAATAATATCCTTGTTCCCCATCCTCTTCGGAATCTGGCCTGAACCTCTTGCCCTTCACATATATTCCTATAAATGTGATTGGATAATAGTACAATTTTACTTGCATATGATATCAATGCTAATTGTTCTGTAATTTGAGCCTTCTGATGGGCCACCTTTTTTTGGAATGGATAAAAACATGAATCTCTTCCAGTCAGCTGACAAAGTAGCTGTTACCCAAATTTCCTGCTATAGACAAGTGAGTGCTTCCATCGCTTCATCAGTTTGTTGAAACATTTCAATTGGTATTTCATCAGTTCCTGCAGCCTTGTTTTTGGCTAATGCTTTCTGTGCATTATTATTTCAGCTACAGAGTACTCATGAATGTTACTTATTAGTATTATTTCCCTGATGCATATAGAGTTGGATTTATCATTTGATTGATAGGTTGTCTGACATCCTTGCTAAAGTTTACAGTCTGTCTAGTAAATCTAGTAAATGTAAGTCTAGTTAGAAAACCAAGTCCCAAACTTTGTTTTATACCGAAGCATTCACTTTAGCTTTACTGCTACTTTCCCTAGGTAATTGAAAGCTAGTTTCTCTTTTTTTCCTTCTTTAGAATAAATAATTTTATTGGGGCCTCTTACAGCTCTTATAACAATCCTTACATCAATTGTATCAAGCACATTTGTACATAGGTTGCCATCATCATTTTCAAAACATTTACTTTTTACTTGAGCCCTTGGTATCAGCTCCTCTTTTTCTCTCCATCCCCCACCCTCCCACCCTCGTGACCCCTTGATAAATTATAAATTATTATTATTTTCATATCTTACACCGACCACTGTCTCCCTTCACCTATGTTTCTTTTGTTTGTTCTCCCTTGGGGTGGTGGCGGTGGTTATACTTCAATCATTCCAATCAATCCCTTTCCCCTCCTTCTCCCCACACCTCCCCCCTACCCTTATGGTATCGTTACTCCCATTATTGTGCCTGAGGGGTTTATCTGTTCTGGATTCCATGTGTCAAGAGCTCTTCTCTGTACCAGTGTACATGCTCCAGTCTAGCCAGATTTATATGGCAGAACTGAGGTCATGATAGTGGAGTGGGGTGGAAGCATTAAAGAACTAGAGGATTATTGTGTGTTTCATCGGTGCTATATTGCATCCTTCCTTCCTTGTAACCCTTCTGTGTGGGGATGTCCAATTGTCTACAGGTGTGCTTTGGGTCTCCACTCTGACCCCCCTCCTTTACATCAATATGATTGTTTGTTTTGGGTAGTCTGATGCCTGATACCTGATGACACCTCTTGATCACACATGCTGGTATGCTTCTTCCACGTGGGCTTTTTTGCTTCCCTACTAGATGGCCACTTGTTTAACTTCAAGCCTTTAAGACCCCAGGTGCTATATCTTCCAATAGCCAGACATCATCAGCTTTCTTCACTACATTTGCTTATACACCCATTTTGTCTTCAGCTATTGTGCCAGGTTATGAGAACAAAGTATTCTTGCTTTGAGGGAGTACTTGAGTAGAGGCCAAGTGTCCACCTGCTACCTGTTTCTTAACATATAAATATATATAAATAGACCTATATCCCTATTGTTATATATTAATATAGTTACATATAAACATGCCTATATTTATACCTTTATAAATGTCTTTTGCCTCCGAGTTCTTGCCTCTATTTCCTGGTAGTTTCCTCCTGTCCCATTATCATGTGTGACCTTCATTCAGCTCTCAGTAATTCCTCTAGGCTACATTGCACTTGATCAAACTCCACCAGGTGTTCTACACCCTCCTTGCCATCTATTTTAGATCTCTTATTGTTCCCTTGTGCCTGGATTTGTTGCCTTTATCCTCCCTCTCCCCCTCTTCTTCTCTCTTGACCCCCCCCCAGAACTATTGGTCCTGTTGTTTTATCCTTGGAATTGTTTATCTTGCCTATCTTATATGGACATGAAGAAGAAGGAGGAGGAGGAGGAGGAGGAGAAAAAAAGGACCTCTAAATAGTATGACATGCCAAGCCCTGTCCTCTGAGACTGAAGTCTATTTTGGGGATTCCTCGAGGACTTTGTTGCTTTGCTGCCCTTGCTTTTCTGTTTCGAGTTTCGCCCTGGTGTGTGTGTGTGAGGGGGGCAGACTGGACATAATACCCACACTGTGTCTCCAGTGCTGTTCCCTGAAGTGCTGTGGGTCAGTGAGGGGACATCGTGTCTCAAACTGGGGCCAGCCCTACAGTCCTCACTGTGCCTTGGCTGCTCCGAGCAGGAGTGTCATCCTTGGGGATTTGGAGGGCCAGGATGTGGTGTTCTTTCTCTCTCTCTCTCCACCCGCCTCTTAGTTTGCTCCCATGTGGTCTGGGCAGGCTCACCACTCTCCCTGGGCTGTAGCTTCAGTGCTGTCCTCTGTAGTGCAATCTTCTATGGAGGGGGTCGATGTAGCTGGGATTAGGGCCGGCCCTGCAGACCTCTTTGTTAGTTTGCTGCTTCATGCCAGTATGTTGTTCTCAAGGCTTGGTGTATCAGGTTGAGGTCTGTTTTCTCTCTCCCATTCTGGTACAGACAAACAATACCCTCCCCGAGGGTGGGTTAGTGCCCTCTTCCCCTCCCTACTCATGCCTCTTTTTTTTTTTGAATGCTAATTTCTTTTAAGGATTAAGATCTGAATCAGCAACCCTTTTCTTTGGTTCTATTGGATCAATTA